AAGATATTTTCATGCGAGAATGGTGCTGTGTAAACTTCAAATATCTGCTCGATTTATCAAGACATTACATATTTGCAAAAGTGCTCTAACGTTTTTGGAGATGCCTGTTACCCACCAGCTGACTGCATAGCTGGACTGGCCATTGGGCATAGCTGGACTGGCCACTGCCCGGTATAAAATATATTGTATTGTGAAATATTGTGAAATAAATTTCTCCTCAAAATGCAACACTTGCACCTGCAAATTATTTTTACGTGCGCTCAGAACAGTGGCACAAAAATAACGCCATAATATGTGAGACCCGTTAGTATAGAAGGTTGTAATTTATGAAACATTTACAGCCCTATTAAACTCTCAGGACATCTTGCCATCTGCAAGAAGAGAGAGTGCCTCTCTTATCTCTGGATTAGAAAAGTATCCATTTTTGAAAATATTACCACTTTTTAAATGTCACGTCTTTGGCTATTTAACTTTGGTAATTTAACCCCAGCTCATGTGCCTCAAGGTCATCTCCTTGGGCAGTGCTGCACCACTTTCAGCACAGCTATTTTTATATTGCCCTGCTGTATTTACCCTCACACATGTGTGACACACACTGAAGCTTTTTCTGTGTGTTAAAATTGACTTCTTAGTCTTTAAGTTTACTCTGGGAAAGAGGATGAAGTGACAGGGAGTAAAATTCAAGTGGGTTGTTATGCACAGATTATGTTGATGAGCCCAAAAAAACTTCCCAGTGTGCTGTGCTGTGCAGGCACACTTGGACCTCAACACAACACTTATGATCATCTCAGGGACACAGCTCCAGCTGTGAGCACAGAAGCCCATCCACCTGCTGTTCACACACACAGCCAATCAGAAGAAAGCCAACTCAAAGGGAGGGTGGCCTGAAATGTAAATAAATAAACTGCTGTTTTCAAACCTCAGATAAAGGCAAACATAAATGGGATACATTTATTATTTTGAAGTGTGATTATGCAAAGCTGCTCTAATAGTTTAATAGTCCAAGAATTAAAATAGAACTTGTGTAAGTACAGCTAATACAGCTGGTGGCCTTCTGAAGCTTTCCTGTGATAACTATGTCAAAAAACAAATACA